ATCCAGTACCCCGGAATCAATCCATGGTCATCCGCGACCGATGCATGGCCGTGCGGAATCACCCGCGACCGACTCATGCCGACATGTCACTGATCTATGGTCATCCCGGACCTTCCCACTAACAGCCCTTATGGTCGAAGGGTCAATACACAGTCGTATCACTCTAATCGACTTGCATGATCGGTGAGTCATTCCATTGTTGATCCCATAGCCAATCTATGGATAATCTTTCGATCGAACCATGACCAACCCTCAATACACTCGTTCCGACCATGTTATCAATTCCATTACCGACCCTCGAGTCGGACTGCTTGCCCATTCTATTACCATTTACCTTTGATCATCTAGGTCTAAATTCGGGGATGTCACAACATAAATACCACACACTAGCTCACGAACATATACATGTGAGTTTCTAACTCCTGCTTGTCACTAGCTAGAACCCATCTTGACTCACGAGGCATCATCACCACCAACTCATAGGGGACGAAATCATATATACCCATTTACCATGCCTCTTAGCCAGTCCATCACGAGTATCCTTTAGATTAGCGAGGATAAATACACTACTGTACATCCGCATGATGATGGCCATTTCTTAACATCATACCATGGTTACACGAGCCATGTCATCAAAGAATTTCATGCAATCTCAACCTTGTAAAGAGCCATCTCATACGGTAAAAAATTTTGCTAGCTCAAGAGTTTCATCCACATACTCATACAAGGAAATTCACTTGATGGCGAATAGCTCATGGCAAAAGTCTTTATCACGTGGCATCAAAGACATACTCATCATTATAACACAACAATTGCCATATGCATCTCAATAATTTATCCTTTTTCATGCAAATAATGATAAACAAATAATTGTGTGCATTTTCACACATATACCCTCATTCTTTCCATGCTAAGCCATCATCATTTAATCGGACGCCTTAATTAGGTAATTTGTAACTTGGGAATTGATACTTATAGATCAACAACTTCAAAACATGCAATTTTATTCAGAAATTGATATCTTTGAAATCGACAACTTAATCCACAATATGAAAACCTTCAACTAGACGATTTAGTCGAAATCGACAACTTGGAATGGGCAACTCTGGTCAGAATTCAATGTCTTTGAAATGGGCTACTTGAAGTTTGACACATAAAAATCGATGACTTGGATAATCGGTAGTTGATCATGAAATCGGTTTACCTAGAAAGTCGATTGGATGATCAACGGTAAATGACTAGAATTGAAAGAATAGTTAGAAAATTGATAATTGGTCAAGATTGTTGATTTATCAGAAATCGATGACTTTTAAAATTAGAAATTTTCTCATAAATCGATTACATGACCCAAATTGGTAAAGTGATTTATCAGTCAACACTAAATCAAATCATGTGAATATCCTTTTCAAGTCTAAATTCCACGTTTTTACACTTTACCTTTTAATAAACGACCAAGCCTTATGGGAACTCAACCTACACTTTCTACACATGAAAATACCCATTGATTTAAGTAAATAAACTCAAGGATTAATACCATAAAAAAAACCCCAAATAGTACACCTGTGACAAATTTACCCAAAACTATTTTTTTGATCATAAAAAATCTCAAACTGGTACACTTGTGACAATTTTATTCCAAACTAATTTTTTGACCACCAAAAATCACAAACTAGTACATTTGTGACAAATTTACCCTTCGTTAGTTTCTGTTAAATTTTACTGGCAAATTGCTAAATTTGATGACACGTGATAGTTGACTAGTGTACCATTTTAGGGTTTCACCCCTCTGTTTGTTCACAAGTTTATCAATTTTGTGATTTTTCGTGATATTAATCCAATTTAACGGAGGGTAAATTTATCAAAAATATACCAGTTTGGGATTTTTGGGGTCAAAAATTTAGTTCGGAGTAAATTTATCACAAGTGTACCGGTTTGAGGCTTTTGGTGGTCAAAAAATTAATTCGGGGCAAAATTATCACAGGTATACCAGTTTGGGGTTTTTCGTGGTATTAACCCTAAACTCAATACCTCAGCATGCTATCATCGAAGTTTAGTCACACTAAAGATTAACATTTTAACTGAATTATCAAATAACAACCAATCAAGTTAAGAGTACTAAGTAGATAGATCTAACTTAGTTCCTAGAGTTTTACTTACTTGAAAATGACTTGAACAAATCAAAGCTTTTATTACCTTCAAAGCAAAATAATAAAAAACATAAATTAACACTCTCAATCTTTAAAGCAACAAAACCGGTTTGATTAGATGAAGAGGAAGTTCAATAATTCATCTTGTAAACACTTAAAATTAAACTAGAAACTTTAGAAATGCAAACGTGAGATCCTTGCTTTTACTCAGAAGATTGGAAAGTGAAGATTGAGAGAGAGAGAGAGAGAGAGAGAGAGAGAGAGAGAGAGAGAGAGAGAGAGAGATTGAAGACTTGAAGCATTTCGGAATGGAATTACATGACCAAGGGGATGTATTTACAAACTTACATGAGTTACAAAAGAATAAGAATGTTTAACTAGGGTTAAAAGCAATGATAACATTGGCTTAACAACAATAGGTTGAAATTGAGTGGGAGGTGTTCAAATTGGAAATAGACAAATGGCTCAACTATATGATTCCAAAGCAGATATTTTGATAAATTAAAAAGATAGTAAACAAGGAAAACATTGATAATATGGAAAAATATTTTAAACCCGCTAAAACGTTCAGCAAAATTTATTGGATGTCAGGAGGGATTCAACTCAGAAAATTTCTAACTTATTGCTTATTTGATACGTTATCTCAGAGCATATCAGTCTCCATTAGCAAATACAATGGTGACACAGTATTCACCGTCACTCCATAAAATCAAACTATGGACCAACATGAATTAATTTAACCCTAATGGAACCAATTTCCCCCAAAACTATGGACACGGAGAAATACAATTCGGACCTTCCTTTACTACGACGTTAATAATCCAACTGGAATTCCTATTTGTGACATTTATCGTGTTCATTTTCTACGCATTAATTGATATAGGAATTTCCGGATATCAGAGTTAGGGTGTCCAAATCGTGTACCGGTTAATTTTTCCTCTCTCCTCTCTCTACGGTTTCTTCTCTCTATTCAATGGACGAAAATCACTTTCCTTTCAATAACTCTCTGTTTTTTTTTTGGGTCCACTTTTTGACCTGAGAAATGGTCAAATAAACCAATTATCACCACTTACTACTACAGTTAGTGTCATTTCCCCTAAAATCATTTGCTGCTGACGCACTACTAATTCCAAAATACGACTCAACTCAAGAGGAGACCGTGATCTTGAGTGGCACATGCGCGTGATTAGATAGCTTTTACTTAACTGATTCTTCATAGTCTCGGATTGGTAGGTGGCATCTATATATGCTCGTTATGTATGTATTTAGTTTTACGTAATCAAATTCTTACGGGGGAAGGACACTAGAAGTGCCAAAAGTTGTGTACGGCACTCACTTTGGTGCCAAAAGTTTCATTTGGATCACTTAAGTGCCAAAAGTTTTCGCCGGCGATAACTTAAGTGCCAAATCGGAGAAAAAACGATCACTTAAGTGCCAACGGCAAGAAATTCCGACCAAATTTAATACGTGGCTTTTATATTTAAATTTTAATGACACGTTGCATTTCCACGTGTATAATTCAATTTTTTAAATATTTTTTCTGATTTTTTTTTCTTTTTTCTTTTCTTTCTTCTTCTTCTTCTTCTACCATGGCCGGTGGCTGGAAGCCAGCCACCGGCCATGGCCGGCCTCGCCGGGCGTCGCCTTCCTCCGGGCGAGGCCGTTGTGGCCTCGGCGAGGGCCGGCCTCGCCGGATCTGGCGAGGCGAGCCCTCGCCAAGGCCACGGCGGCCTCGCCGAGGCGTCGCCTTCCTCCGGGCGAGGCCCGGCCTCGCCGAGGCCACGGTGGCCTTGCCGAGCCTCGCCCGGAGGAAGGCGACGCCCGGCGAGGCCGGCCATGGCCGGTGGCCGGACCTCACCTGGGCAGGGCGAGCCCCGGCGAGGGCTCACCTCGCCAGATCCGGCGAGGCCGGCCCTCGCCGAGGCCACGGCAGCCTCGCCGGGCCTCGCCCGGAGGAAGGTGACGCCCGGCGAGGCCGGCCATCGGAAATAAGAAGAAAGAAAAGAAAAAAACGAAAAGAAAGAAAAGGAAAAAAAAAAGAAAAGAAATGCCACATCAGCCTCCGGTGAGCCACATCAGCTTGAGAAATTAATAAAAAAATGCCACGTCGGATTTCCGGCGAAATGGCACTTAAGTGATCGTTTTTCACAACTTTTGGCACTTAAGTGATCCGATTGAAACTTTTGGCACCAAAGTGAGCGCCGTACACAACTTTTGGCACTTCTAGTGTTCTTCCCCCAATTCTTACCAAGTCACCTAGAAAAAACGTAATCAATATTGACCATGAAAATGTCTCTTTCCTTCTTTGGGACCCGATAACTTTTGTTATGTTCCGCTCGGCCAATCCTTTACCACTTTGTCATGAATGACTTTGATCCCTATTCTCAAGCAATGACATTGAACAATGATGGACCATAACAATCTCCTATCTCACATAATCGCGCATAAAACTTAAGGATCAAGTTCTTGAAAACCCCACGTCTTAATTATTTCGTGACCAGTGGGTCGCGTGCATTACGTCGAAAAACGCAAGTTTATGTCTTATTTTCTCTTGAAAGAATTATTTGATATGCAAATCTGAGTGCAGAATAAAGCACGGAAACATTGCAATGTGCATAAGTTTCGTGCCGTGCTGGAAGTATCTTAGGACGACATGTCGTATCATGGGCCCAACTGGAATGAAGCATTGGCTCCAGTGCACATGTGTATGTACGTTCATATATAGAAAGTGGAAAAGCATCATCTTCCCTTTCCTACACGATGACGCGGACGAGCCATGTATTTCCATGTTAGTTTCGTCTCATAGCGAAACAGTGGAGTCCACTGGAAGAGCAGCACACACAGATCAGAAGATAATACGAAGACGGGCATTGATTATATGAATAATAATAGTACAGATAGAGCAGCATTTATCCATGCATGGGTGATTGCATCCGTGTTCATAACTACGTAGGGGGGTGGTCTCGTTACATATATAGGGCTTCTAGGAATATGGTTCGGTTCGAGAAATACGTTGGGAAGATGATAGATGCTCATCTTCGTCGACCGCCGGAGCCGCTCTCCCTCTGACAGTTGAAGTAAAGAGCGGCGACTGGGGAACCCAGGTTGTACAGCTCCGCAAAGTCCCTGGTGTTGAAGTTTTGGCGCCACCCGGGAGCGTACACGGTTTGCCGCCCCAGTTGCTTGAACAGCACGAACACGAACCGGTGAATCCCCATCGTCGGCCGCGGGCTTTCGTAGCACACAATCTCCTGCCCTGCACGGCCCAGATCATTTCAGCATCCCTTCTCTAGTTGGTTTTTCCCTCCACAGTTGTGGAATATATAGGGAAACATAGTCACTTGCAGATAATGAACTACAGATGAAATGAATGGTCGGTGCACTTTTATACACTCACCAAAGCTCGCTCCTGTTGTAGCTGGAATATCAGTCACCAACCTATGAGAACCAATAAGCGAGAAAGGAATCAAAAGGAGGGACCAAAACGATGTATGCATATGTTTCTCTCCTTCCATGCAGAATATACATGATGTGTAGAACTATTACAGGAGATATTTAGGCGCATGTACATGTATATGTATCTCGCCTAAATACCGGACGATGATTGGTCCCGGGTTTCTTTTTTTTATTTCTCAGATAAGTGAGATCACTAGACTAAGCTCACAAAAGATAAGGAACAGAGGCAAGAGTGAACATAAAGTCCCGGGTTCTTTAGTTTGATCTCTTTCTCGCTCGACTCCATGAAGTCTCTTACTGGATACAGTTACCTATATGCCGCAATAGTCTTGTGTGTGTGTGTGTGTGAGAGAGAGAGAGAATGCTTTTATCACCAGTGCAAATATTCTCTGAGATTTGGATCACTGGGGCTGGGTGCATCAGGGTCTACCATGACCTGCAACAGCCGGGGACCAAAGGATGAGAGGGACATTAGATCAAAAGGTTAATACATACTTAAACAAAACAAACGATAAGCGTCGAGGTTGCCGACCCACCAGGGTGTAGAAGGTCCGGAGATCGTCGCCCCCGATTTCGATGCGAGGCTGGTTGACGACCTGCGACGGTTTGAGCTCACAACTGTTGTTGACCTCCCGGTTGTTGTTGTAGATGACACGGAGAGAGATGGACCTGGTGAATGCATCCAACACATCCCCTATCACTCTCCCTACTACCAATGGATCTCTATCCCTGTCCCTCGCCATATCTCTCTCTCTCTCTCTCACTCACTCTCTCTCTTTCGTCTGTGATTTATATATATGTATACACGGTACAACAGCTCCCAATCTGTGCGGGGGATGGTGAAGTATTCGTACGACTGTCTCCCTCTCCCTCTCTCTCTCTCTCTATGTATAATGAAACTATGATGCATTGTCCAAGTGTATATATAGTCACTGTGCGGTATCTTTTCCTTTTATCCCGCCAGGTACTGTCACTAACTCTGGTGTTATTTTCAGTCTTTGAAAACTGTCGCTAGAAAAAGTTGAGGGGACCTATACGTCAGTCCCCGTACTAATATTCCGAGACGATGACCGGGAGGAGGAGGAGGAGGAGGAGGAGGAGTACAACGCTTGAACAGAACACCGTCCAGGGGGCTCCTCATCCAAGAGCATCCCATTATTCTACCCTGGTGTCTGAATCTTGCCCTTTCGGTCGTTAAAAAAAAGCAGAACATCCAAAGGCAGGTTTGTGAACTGAGCGTTTTGCGTAAGTACCTAGTACAACAAAAGGGCACCACAGGCTTTAACCTATAAGGTCCGACGATGGAAAAAGGCAGGTCACTTTCGAATTGCTTGCCAAAAAGGAGAGGTGATAAGCCCATAAAAGAGAGAGAGAGAGAGAGAGAGAGAGAGAGAGAGAGAGAGAGAGAGAGAGAGAACCTAGGCCTCGCGGAAAAATTTGTTATTTGGAATTACATCAGTCCAGTCGCACCATCCCTAAGTAAATTCTTTCAAGGAGGTTCATCACCTATGCATCTGTGTTTTGTGTATCATACGTATGACGGCATACCCGGGCATGACAGGACTCGGGTTTTCGATGACGTCCGGCAGGCACCGACAAGGATGACCACAGAGCGCACCTCAAATCTTCATAAACCCGATACCATACTCGTTTTGTGCAGACAAATCGACATTGCCAACCCATGCGACGCATTAATTAGGCGACAATCCTCCCTTTATCGCCCTCATGCGAGCCGGCGGTCGCACAGCCACTCCCTCCAAAAGCAAAGCGAGGGTGGAAAAAGGGGGGGATTTCTTCTTTGCGCCAGAAACAGGCGCTCCTTTTTCATATATGCCTCGTGAAATCGACGTTGTTCTGTCCAAACACTGCATAGTTTTTCTTTCCAAAGTGGCCCGGCATTATTGGGTTGGATGCAATAGGTCCCCCAAAAAGACCAAGAAAAAGATGATGGACCTTTTCCCTCCCCCATCTTGGACGAGATAAACCACTTCATTGCACCATTTTTTTCTGAGGGGGAAAGTATTCGGGGCGTGAACCCGCGATACCATGTGTCGTCGACGCGTGGAGAATCGAGGGAAACAAGTTTAATTAAAAAGCTCATATATTCCCCCTCTTTTGCGCTGCTTCAAACATCGAATGATTTTTCCCCTCTCTCCGTGTTGCCGTATCGATGGCAAAAAGGGCCGCACCAGATGTTTTCCATTTACGAACGCTACGTTTGCGGCGCACCCACATTGATTCCCATGCATGCATGTGGTGGGAGTGTGCAGCAACCTTATGTCCTCACGTATTATGTGATCGCGAGACCTTCTGGTCTGATATCGTGGTCGCGCCGGCATAATTAAAGAGCTAGCTTTTTAGCCCATGCTGAGCGCGGCTGGTAAAATACCAAGTTGGCTTAAAAAAGTCTTAGATCTATTGCATCGGTACCGATAGTCCTAAACCTTTCAATAAGATCGATTTAGTCTTAAACCTTTTATATTTGTGCCAATCGAATCCATCCGGCCAATTTTGGACGGAAATCGCTGATATGAACACCGGCCCTCCTACTTTAATATTTTTTTCTGAATTTTTTAATTATATTTTCTTTTTCTTTTTTCATTGTGCCTAGCGAGGGTCTCGCCCGGGCCATCACCGGCTGCAGGCAAGGGCTGCCAAGCCCTCGCCAGATTTGACGAGGGTGAGGGTTGCCCTTCGCAAGGGCTCAACCCTCGCAGCTTGCCCTCGAAGGCCACAATAAAAAATAATAAAAAATTTAGAAAATATTAAAATTTTGTAAAATTTGTCCACGTCGACGCTGATCGTGCCACGTAAGACGGCCGGCATCCATGTCAGCAATTTCTAGCCGAAATTGGCTGGATATACTCAATTGGCACAAATGCAAAAGATTTAGGATTGTATTGGTCCAATTAAAAGGTTTAAGACTGAATTGGTACCAATACGATAGGTTTGAGACTTTTTGGGTACTTTTCCTATTTTTTGAGTACTTCTGTTGCATCTACTATTGTGATTTTTTGCAAAATCAGTCTATTCAAATACTTAATGCTTGGTAAAATCTCTTTGCAATACAATTCTATTGGCTTAGCCATTGGCAGCCCAAGCACTCCAAAGATGCAATACATATTAAGAGGTTCTCCATACTAGAGGTGATCGTTACCCATTCCGATTTGGTCCCACCCAGGAATCAGGATTCGGACCAGAAGGACCAGTTCCCAGTTTCTAAAACCAAAGACCAGATTGCCTAGCCCTAGGACCATATCTAATCGGTCCGGTTCGATTCTGGGTGGTCTAGTGGAATCGGTTGATTTGCAAATAATTTCCAAAGAACATAGCCATCGCTTTTGAAAAAAAATCATTGATATTGTTACATATAGCTCCATCACCAAGATGATGAGATGTTGAGAGGTGTGGGGTAACCTTGAAGCGACAAAATTTAGCAAGATGTTGAGAGGCGTGAGAGGAAGAGCTCTTCCAAGTCGTCTTCCGCCAAGCTAAGAGGCAGAGTTGAGAGGCGAGAGGTCGAGCGAGGCATGAGCCATGAGAGGCAGAGCTCAGCTAAGAGGCGATTTAGGATTTTTGAAGGGAAAGAGGAGAGACGACTCGTGAGGTGAGAGAGGAGAGGGAAAGAGGACAGAGGAGTGCAGGACACGTGAGAAGGGAAGGGAAGAAATTTGTATGAGAAATAAAAAAATAAAAAAAAATAAAAAATCATCAGTCCGGTCTGAGCGGTCCAGTCTATTCGGTTTTCCCTTGGAACTGCGGACCAAAACAAAAATCACCGATTTCAATTTTATGGAACTAGAAATCGAACTGACGCCCCTCGGAACCGCCTAGAACCAGCCGATCCGGTTTGGTTCTAGTGGTTCCCGATTCGGTCGGTCCATGTTACTCACTCCTACACTATACGATCTCTTTGGTCAGCTATACAATCTTCCTTCTTGTCATTTCTTGTTGGTGACTCTTTCATCTCATTCTCTATACTCATTTCTCCATTTCACATGTTTTGCAATGCATGTTGTACTTTTGTTCTTCATTCCATGTATCTGCTCAATGAGAAGAAAACTCTTGAAAGTTTTTGTTTGGACATAATTACTCAAATGAATTGTTTTGGCTTTTCGTGAATAAGTTTGGGTTTCCTCAAATTTAAACAAATGACGAATTATTTGACTACCCGAATAACTTCGTTTTCGAGATTTTCTTTTCATTACCCTCCGCAATTCTAAATTTCGAAGTTCTCTTAAAAGGTGAATTCTCCACAAATTCTTTAGATGTGACTTTCAAATTTTTTTTTTGCCTAGATCATCCATACATTAGCTTTTCAAAATCTTTAGCAAAAAAAAAAAGGACTTTGAAAATAGATTAAAATAGAGAAAAGAAAAGGAAGAAGGTGGTAGACAGATGTTAAGGATTTTTCTAATTTCGGGAGCTCTATTGCTTTCAAACTTTGTGAAAAGGTCGGAGACGTGTTACACAATGAGAGGCCCCACTTGTCGACTTATCAAAGGACTTCTACTGTGTTCACCGAATGCACAGAAGTAGTAAACTCATCGAAAAGTTCTTGCAACACTCACAAGCATTTTCTAATAATATGGCCATATTTTGATTCAATGAGATTTATCAATCAGATGCACAATTGTATTACCGGGTTTAGCTTCCACTTTTGATGTAGTTCCAAGCAAATTGAAGAAGAGACTTGATTGATGATTATTAGAAGCATGATTAAATTAATCATTATTGGGTAGAAAAGCCAATGATCTAATCAAACATTGGGTGGTGTAAAGTGTAACTTTTCAAAATATGGTATGATAGGTGTAATTGTTGGTATACACTAAAGGGTAAAGCTTCTCTTATCTTTAAACTGCCTAATTCATGGGAATTATCATAGGCTATTTCGAATCTTTGAATGGGTTACCTAAGTTCTCTAGTAAACCACATAGTGACTTAGGCGAATATTGTTCTTTACCTACAATTTCATGGGTAGGTTAAATTTTTTTTAAACGAGTTATTTGTCATTAACTTGTGTATCTCGAATTGAACAAAAAGTGTAATCATGGGATACTCATATTATTAGTTCACTTGGCTTTGCCTTTCTTTTTTTTTAAAGAAAGCAACCTACTACAACAACATAAACAATTAAACATGGGCTCTCAAAATTAACTTGAGATTATTAATTTTACCAAATGGTCTTGCTTTTATTAATTTTTACATTTCTAAACAGGAAGCAAGCAACACAAAAAAATGACATGGTGTAGGAATAAAAAGTAGAAGAAAATATCAATTGGGGTATGTGTCGATCAAAGAGAGGGCCACATGTCGACTCCTTAGAGGCTCCCTCTCAAAAAGTAGTGGTTTGTTTCTCACAGAAGTGCTAGTCTTATTAAGATGGTTCACAACTAGTAAGTATTTAAACGAGTAGCCCATATCTAATGCCTAATAAGACTCTAACACATATATTAATCTGTAAATCGATTTTATAAACTAGTCTTAACATACACAATTAAATTCTTGGTAAACACCCAGATCCGTACGCTCTTTAATTATCCCACGGGTAAGATTATTCGCTATGCTCCGTGTATATGAATTAGCTTTCAAGGAACTGGCCACACAACGGCGCGAAGGTTAATATGCATGGTCTGAAAATAGGCACCAATCCATTATCTCAGCGGCTTTCTCTCCTTTAGTTGCAAGCATGGTATCACATGCATGACGTCAATAGAGAAATGTTGAGTGTAGTCTAAATAGTTATATCGAGACTTGTTTACTAAATGACGTGACAAACATTTAATGGGTGGTTAAAAGCACGCAAGAATGTAACATTGTCTATGTTA